GAGAGAGACTAGTTCCATCGATAGGATGAGCAAAATCAAAATGAATCTTCCACTAGAATATGGAAATATACACTGCTTTCCAGCCATGCGCGCAGAGAGATAGAGAGAGGCTACTTCCATCGATAGGATGAGCAAAATCGGAATGAATCTTCCGCTAGAACATCGAAATACAGACTGCCATTTTGTTTTTTTTTGTTTGTGTGTGTGTGTGTGAGAGAAAGACACACACACACACACACACACACACACACACACACACACACACACACACACACACATAGGGAGAGAGAACAGGTAAGTCTCCAACCTCACGGCTGGCTTCACCGTACTTCCATTGATAGGATGAGCAAAATCGAATGAATCTTCCGCTAGAACATGGAAATATACACTGCCACACTTGTAGATTCAGTCCACAAACCCACGGCCAAAAAAAACACCGTTCATAAAACCGCGCCAACAGCAGCCTTCCGCCCGAGTGTTCCACACGATTGTTGTCCAATCGCGCCGCCCAAACTCAATTCACATAGGCCCGAACCAGCCTCGGCCCGAACAGTTGCCGCCAGACTCAAAAAAACAAAATCGTGGAAAAACAATATTTGAACACTCACCGCCAGACTTGAAACGGTAGTCGGGCGCGAGAAAAAGAACCGCGGAAGTCCCCCGTGGGCCTCCAGTCAGTCCGTAACGATTTCCCCAACAGTGGGAGCCCGGGCTCGCAACGGCGAGACCCGCTCTTCCCTTTAAAAAGAATATAGAAAGAAAAAAAGAGGATTTAGAGTTTAGGGTTTTGGTGGTTGTACTCACGATACCACGTGCTGTGCTACCGTCCGTCTTCACCCAAATTGTCGCTGTATCTAGACTGAAAGTTGCCCAAATACGCCTATATAATAACAGGGCGTTCTTTTCGGGTGGCGACGGTAGCATGAGCTCGCAATGCGTAGGGGTTAGGGACCTCGCTCCACTACACGGCAGACTGAACGTATGTGGACCTGCTTGAGGTACGATACATTCAGAATGTTTGATCAGTCCAAATGTACGTGGTCTACATTCCAGTACTGATACTTTCGAATGCTGAGTAGACTCAGTAGAGGAGCGAGGCCCTAAGACTCATCATGACTGCCATCGCTCAAGCAACACAAAGAGGCTCTTGCAATTGTATTTTTATTCTGACTTTATTTTTATTTTTATGAACCGCGATTCCGCGAAAGGCCGTTGGTAAAAGATAATAAATTAAGAATGCTCATCAAACCCGATGGACATTGACTGACGACATCGGTGCGGTTGCCGAGATCCCGCCGACTGAGTACTCGTCCAAAATTGGTTACAAATTTCACTCTAACCGTGGTACTCCTCTACAAGCCAACATTCTCTACAAATGGTCTTCACAAATCCCAACCCTCAACTTACGCCCTATCTTCACAAATCCCTACCCTCAACTTACGCCCTATCTCCTGAATGGATTCATTTCGACATCCAGATGATCCTTGGGTGACTGGAAGTGAAGGTGGGTGGCGGCGAGCAGTGGCTCCACCTTCACTCAAGTACGCCCACAGCTTCATGGTGCCTGAGCAAGGGCATGGACATCGGCACCACCTGCCACACGTGTCCCCATGCCACACTTGACCCTTGAGGACTCACCTCATCTATGGTGGGAGTGTGTCATCGCTCGTGGTTTCTGGGACGAGGTTCGCACAATTTGGCTGCAGACCTATGGCAGGGACACAGACGTATAATGGAATGAAGGCTTCATCATTACTAGAAGAGACAACACCGGTTTTTATTGGCCTCGGCAACTAGAGAAATTGGCCTCAAGATTCGCCTCAGAGGCGTTGTTGGTGCCTGTGGATGGCCCGCGGAGAAAGGAGATGTCATCATGTTCATCAGCAGGCTCCGGCTCCGGCTCCGGGATCGGGGGCTAAGCTGTTGGTGCCTGTGGATGGCCCGCGGAGAGAGGAGATGTCATCATGTTCATCAGCAGGCTCCGGCTCTGGGATCGGGGGCTAAGCTCCGGCACTCCATACGTACGGCAATAGCAGCAGAATGGGTCTCTCTGAAGAAGAAAAACTTCATCCAAGCAAACAGCAGCGAGCAGTTGAGATCAGAGATGGCGTGCGCCCATCCCGTGGGCATCCGTCTCTGAGACCTTCGGACTTCAGCAGTAACTCCAAATCCCTATGGGATCCTCTATCGCCCACCCCTCAACCCTATGGGATCCTCTACCGCCCACCCCTCAAGACTCGCATTCGCAGATCTCTCTGCTCACCCTGTGACCCCCCCAGGCCTCCCCCACAATCACACCCTCTTGCAGATCTCTCTACTCACCCTGTGACCCCCCCAGGCCTCCCCCATTGGC